TTACGTTAATCGGAGTCACTGCAAGGGGTAGCGCGTATCTAACTATTTCTGGGATCTCATATATCGACATCGTTTTGCCAGGATTATTGCGTAGCCAATTGTCCTGAGCCTTTGCACAATAGTTTTTGAAAGGTGCATTTACTCCAACATCTAATGGTTGTAGGCGGTGTGTGCAGTGAGGGGGGAATGATAACATAATAATGGAGTTAGATTTCGCTTTTTCCACCACATTAATATCAATGTGGGATTGGTGATTATCGAGTAACAATAAAACCGGATCTGAAGGTGATGGTTTGGTATGCTTGATAAAATGATCCATATATATCAGGAACTCCGTGGCAGTCATCCATCCTGAACTGTTTCCTGCGCCGATAGATTCCGGTGGCCCACCTTTTAAGAATAAATCCTTATATTTAAGTCTTGGGAAAATAAACATGGGAGGAATTGCATGACCTAATGCATTTACTGCCAGTTCAACTGTAACTAATGTCCCTCGTTCAGCAGATACTATGGCTCCAACTTGCTTAATTCCCTTCTTGGCAATGATTTTTCTCGGCTTTAACACTGTGGTAACGCCAGTTTCATCTAAATTGTATATTCTGGAAGGCGGAAATTTATACTTATCCAACACTGTGCTTAGCTTTGTGAAAAATTCGCTAACATTGTGTTTGTTGAAAGATGTCGCCCTGCTGGCACTTGTTGACTCCGGCGCTCTTATTGACAGGCGAGGATTTCTTTTTAAAAAACCTGTCAGCCAGTCTGGGCCAGCTTTTCTGTTTTCATGCCAAGATGGTGGAATATTGGGAGCGTTGAATTTCAATGCACATTCGTATGCTAATTTTTTCACTTCTTCTGGCAAAAGACCAAAGAAAATTGAAGCACATTTCAACAAATATTCTTCTAATTTATCTTCCTGTTCTTCAGTAAAGACCAATCTTACTTTTTTGTAGCCAATAGTGATATTTTCTACTCCAGACTTTAGCTTTTTAACAAATCTGTATAACGACATATGACAAATATCTAATTCTCTGGCAACCGTTTTTATTTTCCTGCCATCCTTGATAACTGCATCTGCTGCTTTTTACATCAACTCTTGTGATACAGAACCTCGTGTTGATTTTCGGGTATAAGTCCGCATACTACAATAGAAAAATTACAATATTTTTATTCCATTGTTTATATAAATAAATTGGGGCAAGTTGTTCCGAGGTCACAATGTGCCCCCGAAAAAAGGAACATTTAGCCCCAAACGCACGTGTTGAAAAAAATGCATGATATAGGTTAGGTTACGAAACATATGTAATTTAGGCAAAGTGAACCGAAACAGTAGACAAATGCTTTAATTAAAACACTAAAATACAAGAGGCTTATCATTAAAATTCGCGAGAAAGACCAAAAATACCAAATACGAAAATATTTACTTACGTGAACCAGTGACGCACGTGATGTTATACCGATGTTTCGGGTGCCACTGGCCTGCTTAAGATGGCGGCCGACGGTGCGCTGTGGCGTTCCATTTCACGCCGTGTTTACTAAATATTGTTATCTCTTTTCCACGCAAAGTTATTTCAATCGGAACAACCTACCTCGGTAACATTTAGCCCCGCTCTCCCCTACTTATTGAAATATTTGCCGATAAAATTGAATTTTTATTTTATTCTGTCCTGTAAAGTTGGCAAAATCAACATCCGCCCTAATGCTTCTAAGCTCTAGATATGTATGTTAGTTTTCACCAGTACCCCAAGCGCGAACTATGACATATCCGTATTCGTATCGCCATGTCAAAGTTTCTGTGGAAACTAAGCAGCTCAACCCTACAGGACACAATAACAAAGTAGCTCCTTCCATTTTTTGATGATGGCGATACGAATACTTTCTCGTAAAATATTTTAATTATGTATATAACATTTAAGGGGATGTAAACTACTAAATAAACATATGAAAAAAAAAACAGCAGTAGAGCGCCACTTTCTTTGCAAGAGCAACAGAAAAGGCATTTCATTTTGAAAATTGATTATTCCGCTAGGTCATTTGGGTGGTCAATAAATTAACCAACTAAATAAATCATAAGGCGAACGTGCTCTTGTAAAATATTTAGATTTTGTTCATTTAAATGCTTATTCAGACTGCAGGATCCGGGACGGGCGCGTACGCGGGCGCGCGGTTCTTGGCGTATTTATGTTCACAGTGGCAGAGCGGTTGAGAGACTCAACGTACGCGTGTGTATACCCGCATACCTACATCCTACCTTCATCAAGGCATGGATGAAGATTTGATTTTATTAATGGAAAATTTATTTTGTGCTATACATGAAATGAACAAAGGACGAGAAGAATGGGGGGGAATTTAATGTGCTATACGCCGATTTACGGAGTAACCCAGACAACTTCTTCGAATATAATAAACGATTTTGATTTGATTTGAATACATTAGAATGTAAATAAATACATTTATTATATTAAATACGATCTCAATATATTTGATAAATAATAATATTCTTCTGTAGCGCTATCCAAGATGCCGCGGGTGAATCAAAAAGTTTTAGAATCAGACGCGTTAGCCACTGAAAGACGCTAGAGCATTGTGAAAGACACAGGCGGACTGGGCCAATAGAATCACCCGCGCGATAGTCACGCCACCCGCGTCCGCCCCCGCGCCTATGCAGATGTGCGCATACGCGCGACCACTGTGAAAGCGAGTAACGTCTAGATCAGTGTTCCCTAGCCTTTCGAATACTGCTACCCGTTGTAACCTATTAGGAAAACAGATTTTACCCCGACTTTAAGATGTTATCATCAGTTCAAGAAATTCCAATTTGGCCGCTACATCTTCGTCTCTAATAATGTCATCTTCAGGAGAAAATCTCGCCCCACTTCCCACACTCAGCACCCCGCGGGCTCGCTAGCAAGAAGGAGCGCATGCTCTATTTAGTAGTATTATTATATAGTATTTTCTTATTATTTAGATTTGACCAAATAATTAGGTTCTTTGTTACCCCCGAAGTATGGCTGATTTACCCTCGGAGGGGTAATTACCCCCAGGTTCGGAACCAAGGGTCTAGATACATTTGATCTACCCGTACCCGCACTCGCGCCCGCACACGCCTTTACTCTGAAAGAGCACTAAAAGGTTCCCACTAGTTTGCATATAGGCACGGACATGATAAAGGCTGAATCTGCCTTCAAATTATATATATCTGAAATTTTGGAATTGCAGCAGGCCAGAAGACGAAAGAGAAATGAATAATAATCCTAATTATATCACATTTGTAGTTACACTTCGTAGTCTTGTTATAAAAATTGTTTTGTATGTAATAAAAATTGAGAGATACGGGAGTAGTAAAGAAGATTTTTTTGGGTTTTTCAGATTTTTATCATAGTTACCAGAACGTGAGTTAAAATAGATTAACATTTGCTAGATGCTTTTCTTATTCATAATTTCACGACTATTTCGTCTATAGATCACACAAAGAAAAGTTCGTTAGAGTTAGTGCACTGCCATTTCAATAGCATCTTATTATCATCACTGGTTCTCATTTTATAAACAGAAATATTAAAATAATATTGTTTTAAATAGGTATTAAAAACAATCCTAAATAAAAATTAGGAATATAAAACCCACATGTAAGAAATCATGTTATTATTTTCATTTTTAATACATTATTTTTAATGAATCGAACCAAAGCTAAAATTTATTAATATTTTAAACTTTACAGTTTTTAACCACTTTATATCAACAATACCTATTACACATTAGATAGGATGCTTCATTGAATATCTCTTCATATTTCAAATCAATTTAATGAGTTGATATAAAAAAAACTACGTTTTCGTGCATGAAAATCAATCGCATGTTCAGAAATTTTATCAATCAATCAATCAAATCATTTATTCGTTTATATTTTATTAAGGAATAGAAGTTACAGTAATATACGAGCTAATCAGTAGAATCGGTGACATATCTAGAAATATTATCAATGCACGTGTGCTCACTCATTCGTTTATTGAGCGTGCATAATAGCTCTTTGTGTAAGGAGAGATGGATGACATAAGTAAAATTCAATCCAAAACTTAACCTGTTACTAGTATTGGGTGCCCGCGACTTCGTTTGCGTTGAACGATCTGTACCCTTAGCACGAACCATTATCGAATTCGAATAGTTTGCGAGTCCCAAATGACATTGTCAAATTTTGTATGGAAACTTGAACAGCAGCGCCGTAACGTATGTAATGAGAACTAAAAATCAGTACACATTTGACAATGACATTTCGTACTCGCAAACATTACGAATTCAATATTGGTGCGTGCTAAGGGTACTGTTTTTCATACTTACTGCACCCCGTTTTTAACCCCGATAAAGTATGATTTATAGTATAAAAACTGTTCTTCGGGAGCCAAACTATCTCTATACCAAATTTAACTTTATCGGTTCATCGTCTTAAGCGTGAAGAGGCAATAGACAGACAGACACACACTTGCATTTATAATATTAGTATATGGATTAGAGTTTGTGACGTGTGTTCTTAAGTAGGTGTTCGCATACATGGCGGGATATTAGTGAGGTCCAGCTGAAAAGAGAGCAAGCAAGTAACAGATATATCTGTTATCGTAGAACTCATTCAATGACTTCTATTTCTTAAAGTTCTCAAGCTTTCGTGTGCAGTTGCAAAGCTTACACGTTACAACGTTCTGTCGCGTGAACTACTGTTTCTACGCAGTTTTACTTTGCATAAAGCTTCAAGTGAATAACAAGTTCAAATGATACGTTTCTAAGACCATTAACAAATTTACTTTTTGAAGATAGAATAGCTACAATTAGCCTTGAAATTTCTATTTGTAGGTTGCAGCCATTCGTGAATCACCTTCCTGTTTCCGATAAATGCACGCATTATCAGTTACCGGCAGCCGGTCACTGCGGCTCTTAATTCCTATTCAGTTTTAATATACACACATTTATTTATAAAATAGTAAACCTTAAAATAGTTCAAATTTTTTCAATAGGAAAGTATTGCTACTGAAAACGCAAGACTTGAAAACCTGGCGCCGCCGGAGAGTCCAGGGATAGCCGTAAGTAAATAAACATAATTATTTCACTTTATACACACTAGCCGGTAAACTTAGTTCCGCTGCCTATGCAATCTATAAAATAAGACGGCTTACAGATGTCGACACTGCTAGGACAATATACTTCAGCTATTTTCACAGCATTATGTCGTATGGCATTCTATTGTGGGGCACGGCCGCTGACATTGAAACAGTTTTTATTCTTCAAAAACGCGCTATAAGAAGCTAAGGGATAAATTTAAAGAAATAGGTATAATGACTGTTGCCTCTCAATTCATTTACAATTGTATATTGTTTGTGCGTCAGAACATAAATTTATATACGAGGCGCGATGATGTACATAATTTCAATACCAGAAATAAAGATAAGCTCAAATTGCCACCGTTGAGACTCCAAAAGGTTCTTGGTTCATTTGTGGGTCAAGGCATATGTTACTATAATAAAATACCAAAAGAAATAATTAATTTACCTTTCAATAAGTTTAAAGTGTCTATAAAAACATGTCTCCTTAAGAAAGGTTACTATACTGTTAAAGATTTCATAAATGATAAGTCACCTTGGGCTTAATATAACAGACTAATCCGTTTTACTTTGCTGATTTGGTTGAAAATTGTTTAATCGCCACTTCTAAATTTAAAAGTAGTGCCTAGCTATACTTAACTTTTGTTAATTAATAATATTAATGTGATGGAAGTTGACATCAACACATGTTTTCAATTTTTGATGTCATCTTTCAATTGACGACACTGTTTGAAACAAAACAGGGAGAAAAAAATAGCCTTTGCTGAGTTTATTGCCGGTTCTTCTCAGTACAAGGTCTCCCGCCGTAGATTTACGAACCGATGGCGTAGCGTTTGACTTTCACAAGAGCTTGAAACAGCCTAGACTGAATAAATGAGTTTGAGTTTGAGTTTATATCATTTGGTAAAAAGGAATATTCTTTATTAAAAAAATAATCTTAAAAAATAAAAGACCTTTTTCAGCCACCGTAGATTTAACTGACCTCGCTTGGACAGTTCATTGTCATTGTCAAATTATTATCTCATTTTCTTTCTCTATCGTCAAATGGTGCAACCCATTTTTTACCTAACAGGTACTTGAATCGAACAGTTAAAGTATGTTGGTGCAACTCAACTTATATTTCCAATACTAATGAGGATGTAATGTTACTATTCCTATAAATAGCGAGCGGATACGAAGTAAAACACCGTAGAAGAAATATAATTCGTATACTGATAATAAGTATCGAGGAGAAACAAATAAAGAATTGAATAAGACGGAGGGATGAGTGACGTGGAATTGTGTGCAAGGCGATTAGTAGTACACTGCGCTGCCGGCCAAGCGACTGGTAGCAGGTTCCATACCAGTCCGCGTCTCCCGCGTACCGCGCCCCGCGACGTCCGTGACGAAGCGGCTGCTGTTGTTGAGGACACAACGACGCGTAGCGATTTGCCACACCAAACCTCTGGGAGAATCAAAACCCTGTGGAAAAGTATTAGGGAATTTTGCATGTCGCCCCGAACGAGTAGTTTTGACAGGTTTGGGCTCAGGGCAACTTGTAGGATTATTGGATGGTGCATTCTTCGCTTCCATCAGAACGAATGCTCATTTAGTTCTGTTTATTGAAAGGGTAACCGGTCCTCTATTCAATTCTACAGTTTTTTCTCTGTACGTATCAAAACTGTATGAGGACCACTATATGGAGCTTCCAAAGAACCACGTAAAGCATTCTTTCTGAGGAATAGGGGAGAGTGGGGATATTGCGGATACCTAAAGGAATCCTTAAATAAAAGATAAAGTATAATCTGACATCAGTCTTTCTTTATTAATTATTAAACTTTGGTCTTTACCTTACGAAATTAACAGATATAAATTTTAAAAACAAATCAACTGCAATATTCTTTTATCAAAAAACAAAACCCTTGCTATCCAGCATGTGGGGTAATTACGAATGGCACTGTTATTACAGTTGCGACATTAAAAAAGTTTGAAACGCAACAAACAAATAAATCGCAAATATAGTCTCGGCTTGGGAGTACAAGCCGGTGTACCTGTGCAACTGTCATGTGCAAATTTCTGGTCCGACACGATACCTCCGTATTTTCCCCAAGACAAAGTCCGTAATCAACCCAACTGGATGTCAATATTTTGCGGCATAAAATTTTAGGTTAGGTAATAATAGTGATAGTTTATTATTCCACATTTTCAGAGGTGATTAATAGTATTAATACATATCTTATACAGTTTTTAAGAATAATAAATATCATAACATTAACATGCAACTATAAACGAACAAAAATTACAGGAAACCACTTCAAAATAAAGAATTAATCTTACCTTGAGATGCGCGCGGCCTCCCGTGTTGACATCAATCCGGGCACTAAAGATGGTCAACTTGACTCCGTTATGAAAGTGGCGGGGCGCGGGGTTGGCGAGAGCAGCCAATTCAACAGTGTCCGCATTTACCCGATCTCCGTAATTAACCCACTCTCCCCTACGTACTGCGCTATTGGTAAGTTTTGGTGGAAAAAAATGGTTTTCTGACCTTGTCGCGGTGCTGGCACTGGCCTCAAGCGTGACATGTGAATGCGCAGATTGGATACAAAGTTTGATGGCTGAGATAACTGGGAGTAATGAGAATTTAAGAACTCACCAGTAATCCTCAGAGGCTCACCATATACCATCTCAGCAACAGAGCATTGCATGTCGGACTTCCAAGCAGTACGAACTCCAACAAGTACTGTAGGCAGCTGCACGTCTGCCCATCGTGTAGTCTCGTGGGACATTATAGCAGCTTTCAACGTCCGATGAAAACACTCCACCATTCCGTTCGCCTCTGGATGGTAAGGTGTGGTTTGACGCAGTCGAATCCCGCAAAGATCTGGAGGCCTACTCTATTTAAACGAAAAACGAACTTTCCTAATCCGTTTCCTTTTCATTTCGAAAATTCGTTCGTCCAAAATATTTTGACAATTAAATTCTCCAAGCCTACTCTAATTCACAAAACTTTCGAAGGAAAAATTGAATTTGACAGATAATTGTTCGAAATTTTGAACTCAATACGACGAAATGAAAAGTGTTACCTTTTCATTTTCGTTTTGAGATTTTTGTTTTAATTAAGCCTAAAATACTTGCAAGAGTATTTTTAATAATAGCTGCTTAGCTCGAGAAACTTTTTTAGCATGTAAAATTAACAAATAAACCATTTTTTTATTATTTTTTGTAATTTCGATACTTCAAAGTATTAAACGACAAATTGAGGTTGACATACAGTAGATTGTATCGACTCTACAAATTAGTCGGCTAACACTGTCAAAGAAGGTTCTTTCAATGTCATCTAAAAATTTGCCGTAAACTACCTATATTGTTTCCAAGTAAAAAAACGTTTTCTTAAAAGTAGAGATAAAAAGAACTCACAAACATGACTCATTCCATTCGTTCACGAAAATTGTTTATGGTTCCGAAGTTAATGTGCCTGTTCGAAAATGAAATAGAGTAGAGACACTGGCGAAATTTCGTTTGAAATTCGTTCGTTACCGAAATTTCGTTTCGGAGAAAGAGAGTAGAGCTCCTGACAATTATTTAAACAAATGGAAATTAATTTGATGACATGATCACTTTTCACAGTTTCCAGACACTCAAAGCGTGTAACACGCATCATAAAAAGCTTTAGCTACATATTCAGCTGTAATACTCACAAGTGGTATGACTTCTGGCCATCTGGTAAACTATCCACAGCCGTAAGAGAGTATCTAAAGTCATCGGACAACGAATCTGTGGGCAGTCAATGGAAAGTCAGCTGTGGAAGAAAAGGAGCTCAGGCATGATATGCAACTTGTGACCCAATCACAACAGTCTTTTTTCACAGAAGGCCAAACAAATCGATCAGTGATGAGTTTTGTAGTGGGCTTGAACTCCGGGATAGCTCATGTTATGATTATTGTCAACAAAAGAACGGCGCAGCTCCTTCGGAATGTATGGACGAGGTCTTGACTGAGAAACGTCACAGTAAAGAGTAATATCCGTAGCTGGTACTGGAACTTTCTGAAGTTTTAAGGAAAACTAATTGTTTTCCAATAGTTCACGAACGTCTGGATCATAACGATACTGCTGCTTCTGTGCTATCGTTTCAAAATCAGGAGGGACAGATATAACCTCTACACGAGACAATGCATCAGCAGTAATATTTTATTAAGTGATGTATTTTTTTATGTGCACGACCTCGTATTTAACACGACATTTTTTTTAACATGGTAATAGTTTAGAAATATTTTTTATTGTATATGTTTTTGTACTGTAAATATTTATTAAATTTTAAAAGACTATTATTATACAGAAATGTTTTTTATCACAGAAAACCTACGGCGATTTCAGTCAGAGTTTGCTAGAAGAAATGGAGTCTTTATTCCGAAGTATGGATGGAAGGAAGCGAGATGAAGCTGTAAGTTTTGTTTCAAATAATGGGTATAAATTACTAGTAAAAACATGCGTCAAACAGGGGCCGTATTTTAATTGAGCTGAAAAAGAGATTTCTAGTGCTAGGATTTTCAACTCTCGAATAAAAATGATCTGCCATATGAATTAATACTCAAACAAAAATAAATGTCACCTGTCACATCAAAATGAGCATCAATTGGCAAATGGCATGCAACCTTTCATTTTGATCGTATAATACGATATCAGACGAATAATTTTTGTCCATTGATCATTGACGTATTAAAACAAGTAGACTCACAATCGCGCTCAAAAAGTGTGCGAAGTGAGGTAAAATTACGCGTATGCGCGTCTCTTGTGCGTAATTTTCAAACAGTTGTGTCTAGACCGTGCTTTGATTACAACGCCAGCAAGGACAACGTTTTTGTTTATAACTCGCAAATGACACCAGATCCACATTTAAACTACATGGGAGTGTCGTATTTCAGGTAAGTGATCTTATAACTAACAAAATTACGTAACTGCACTAGCGTTTCCTATCGTATTGATAATGAATTATATTTTAATAGCTATAATAAAAGTATCTCTCCCCTTGTACGCCCCGTGCGTCATGTGATCGTGTATGTCTTTGTCGCACCGTAATCAAATGCTCTCTTTCTCTTTCGTATACAATTGACATTGAACCTCACTGCTATGACCTAACTGTTAATTTAAACAATACAGTTATATAAGTTAATGTATCTGTATAACACAGCTCCGCTCGGACGTTTTTTGATGCACTTTGGTAAGAAGATTGGTAGTGTACTTGATTTTCTACGTCAATGCCATTGATTAAAAAATCAGCCCTTAAAAAATCTTATACATTTTACACGCGTAGAGTACCTAGATTTACTGCGGCTTGTAAGATCTTTTCTAAAACTTCATTTACCGACTTTATAGTTAGTCCCCTGGTGCTATTCATCATGGCAATCCTTGCCGATAAAAAAATATAGAGATATACTTTTTCAGGACGACGAGGAAGATATAACAGTATACGGTGCCACTACCTTGCACAGTCGTTCCTATTACATTTAAGCTCTTTAACAAATTACACGCAATTGGCTCAATCACATTGAAATAAATTCGTTCAGATCAATCGTTCAACAGATTGTTATTGGTAAGAGTAGAAGAAAGATAACCGAGTAATGTTTAAATTATGAAAATTTATAAAAAGTTTTTGATAATATTTTTATTTTGTCGTTTTGTGTTCTTTATAAAATATAATAATTATTTAACAGTAACTTATTAATTCACTTTGAAATAATATTCTTCAAATAGAGTTTCTTTCAAAAACTTTTTATTATTGGTTTTGTACTAGGTAATGGATGTTTTTTTATCTTAGAAATGTAGTTGTGGTCAGCTAATATTGATTTTTTTGTGTGTATTGTTAAGTAACATGTAAATTTTTTCAAGGCTTGCAGAAGTGTGAAAATGATTGCATATACTTTATCAAATTTTAAAATGTCATAAATAGGCGGGCATCAAATAATATAATAAGTCCGGCCACAGAATTTTTGTTTATCCACGTGATTAAAATTCTATTTTTATAACTAAGCAATGGAAAAATGAGTTAGCTTCTAATAAAGTAATTCATCTCTTTTACAACGCCAACTAAATATTTTAAAGAAAGCGTCAAGCAAAGATCAAAAATGACTTATTTGTCCTTCTGTTATATATGCATGCCAGGGATTTTACAACTTATCATCATTTTACGTTTAACAGCTTCAACATCAACTCCTAAAAAAATATCATTCAAACATCATATTACTATAACTTAACATAATGATTAAATAATCATATTCTTCTATCGTGGAAATAGCCACTGCATGATTTGGCGCGAGTGTGCGAGATGACAGCGACCGTCCATTTGCACCAATCGGAGTGCGCCATTCGATTCATTTACCCTGCCGCACAGTGGTCCGGATTTTGAATGTAGTGGTCTTAGGACCCAAGGTTAATATTTCGCGCTGAAAAAAATCATGCGGACAGATAAGTGAACGCTCATCAACTTTTGTTCTAGCAGTTTTTATGTAATCGTATATTTTCGCTAAAATAAAATATTTAAGAAAAATATGTATGAAGCGCAACTGAAATACTTTTTTTCCTCGAAATGTTTAAAAGTGTTAGCAATGAAACCATTTGTAAATTATTGTATTACATTTATTTATTAATTTCACCAACAAATCTTTTGCATGCACTTGCAGCTTTGGCGTTTATGTGCAGTTTAACTTAAAATATATTATATATATAAAATTACATGAAATCAATACTTTTTTAGTCTGTTAAGTGGTTTTGGGAAAGTACAATAATAATATATAATTGTCTATATCAACACAGAGTTCAAATTACAAAATAAAATAATTATTTACAATAAAATGTAATAATCGAAGGTGGTTTATACTTTTAAATTCAAAAATTATAAATTAGTACACTTAACAATAATAAAAACATTATAAAATGGTACAAGTAAACTAAACATACAAAATAATACAAAGTAATAAATTAATATAAGAAAACTTAAAAATCATTCCAAAGGATCTGCCACATTTTGTGGAGCTTCTATTTCTTCATCTTCAACTTCTATTATTTCTTCTGTTATTAATAACTGCAACGCTTCTGGAAACATACTTGATGATTTAAAATTGACGTATTTAGGTTTCAGATGAGATATATATGGATCCGAAGATATCAAAAAATTGTGTATAATATCTTCATTATTTTGAAATCTTCCTGTTTTTCTCGTGTGGCGCTCTCTAGTATTTCGGAAGTTTTTATTTCTTGCTTCTGCTGCTTCTTCTGACAAAAATCCTATAGGAAGACAAGATAAATGTTTGCATATGTCTGCGCCATGTATCGGCATTTTGTGTACGCTGGAAGGCATGTTGTACCAGGGGTATTGATGTACATAGAGTTCAGCAGTCTCCTTGCAGTATCCACGGAATTGATCGATATTGACAGCCTTTCCAGAAGATAACACTTGCAATATGACTGCGAAGTGTTTTATCAAATCAGCATCAATCTTCGTTATTTGAGCTGTCTTTTCGTATTCTCGGAAAAATCTTCTGGCCGTGTTCCCATCATTTGTAGTTCCAAAGCCCTGCTTCACAAGATCAATCAAAAGTCCCATCTGTTGTTTGAACTCCGATTGCACCATGTTCTTGCGAAACTTCTTAAGGTTCTTGTTTTCGCCTCGTGCACTCCACATTTCGAAATCTAAATTATACGAAATGTGTAAAAGACAGTCCATGCTTCGAATCCACATATGGAGTGTTGACAATCCATATTGATATACATCTTCCCGCACAGGTCTTGAAAACATTTGAGAAAGATTATTTATCTCGCTTGGTTTTGCAAGACAAATATTGCAAGTAGCTGCAGAGGGAGTATTTGTAATTATTGTCGTCACTTTCCCATCAATCATTGTCATGTGTAGCTCATGAGTAATTTCCAAGTTTCCGCAACTTGAAACAGTCAAATTTTGTATATCTTTCTCCATTGCTGCTTGTTCTTGCTTAACAAAGTCAGTTGTTTCCTTCGCAAACTGAAATTTAATAGGTCTGCAATAAAACGTTCAAGATGGCTTTGGATTATACCAAATAACAATATGCGGCCTCTAGCTTCAGGGGAACGAGGCTTGTCATGAACACAGAGGAGTCATCGAATTCTGCCATTTCACTTCTTTGCTTGTAGTTGCTCTGTGCTGAAAAACCATTAAATCCCCATTTGCTGGTCAGCTTCAAGCTTCCACTGGAAATATTTAAGTCATCACCAACGACTTGCAAAATCTTTCGAGTTGTGACATCTTAAAGTGCTTGTAGTTTCACCTACGCTCCAACTTCTGATATTATAATATCTCTGGTATCTGAATAACACCTTTTCTTAGCTTCTAACAACTTGTGGTAAGACGGAAGCTTCAACTGTTGTGACAATGCAGACCTTAAAGTGAGGTACTTCCACTTTGAAAGATCCAATGAAGTAGTTAGGGCCAAAACTTGATCTTCCTGCACAGTCTCCTTCTTTTCGTTCATAAATAAAAATGATTCGACAACTCCAAACTTTTCAGGCTTCTTCATAAAATGATCGATGATGCGAGCAAGAACTTCTTTTCCATTAGACTTTAGTTTTGTGATAAAAGCAAAAGTCAGTTCCTCTTCCGGATAGTCAAGTAATGTACCCGATCGCCTTTTCTTCTGCTTGTTTCCTAGGTCTTCAAATGGCTTTCTTGATACGATATCTGTAGAAGTACCCATGTCAATAGTCGCCTTCGAAGTAGATGCAAAGGGTAAAACCGCTGCTTCTTCTTCTGTGGAACGATGATCCAAATTTTCGGCCTCTTCAAAAATTTCGGAGAGATTCACGGATTCCACCACCACTTAATTCTTGCTTCTAACCAGCTCATATGCTTTTTCATGAATGTTTTTTGCACCCTGTGTGCTTCGGTCCATCTACGATTTAAGTTGACAGTGAGAGATCTTGCAAAATTCAAAACTTTTTCAGAATCTTGCGAAATTTTAAGCAAAATGCTGTCCAAAATTGCTTGATGCAGTCGTTTGTAGTCCTTGAGGTCCCTTTTTCGTAGAAACACGTAAATGTCCAGGTAAGTACCAAATCCAGCCATAATTAAGTAGGTAGTTTTCTTCAGGTTAAAATTTCCAGGTATGTGGACTCTTCAAGATTTTAATGTCTATTGACGCTCCAGCCGGACCTCCCATCTGTTTTATCTGATTTACAAGCGCGCAACTAGCAAGGGTCTTAACGAGAAAAAGAGATAGCAGTAGTAGAAAATGAAAGAGATAGCAATATTAGGCAATGGGAGGGGGAAATTAGCAGCCAATACGTCATTCGGTCACTAACTGCACTTTGAGTAACAGCGATAACCACTAAGAAGTAAAATATGAAAATAATTTGTATCTATTTTTCGAAATCATTTTAATTTAGGAAAGAAATCCCTTTAAAGTTTATAATATT